CGATCTTTGCTTGATTTGTTAACTTTTAGTTGATAGCCATCTTCCACACATTTCGTATACAAAGCTATCTTCAAGTCTTCATTTGTATCAAAACAATCATCTTTCTTGATACGAATAATTTTTATGTAACAATCAACTGCTATTTTTACCAACTCTTCTTCTGGTATCTGAAGTAATTATGGCATATTCCAGTTATACTCCCATGGCATTTTCTTCGAGGACTTTTCTTCGGGGATTTCTTCTTCTTCTTTTTCTTTTTCAGGGTTATATGAATTACATAATGGATGTTCAACATGTTCATTCACAGTCGTAACTTCCTCCTCGTTATCATCAACAACATCTTCCTCGGCAGCGGCTGTTTCATCATCAAAATTCGGGTATTGACCAATATCAAAATCATTACACGCAGGGTCTGTTTCTTCTTCTGAAACATCATCAAAATTCGAGTATTGACCAAGATCAAAGTCCGGGTATTGACCAAGATCAAATTTCGAATACCGACTAGTACTCACAATTTTTTTTGTTGGCTCATCATCGTCTAACTGGTTAATACGAAAACCGGAATTTGGTGCTGAAAGTTGATTGAGATTTGGATTAGGGAAAGGTTGTGGGTTTTGAGATTGTGTTTGGTATTGAAAATGTGGTGAAACAAAATTTGTTTGGTGATGAAATTATGGTGGAACCATTAAATTTTGAGCACCATAAACTGGGGTTGAAAAACTTAGTTGATTACTACCAGCTATTGACCCAACTTCACTACTTCTAGGTTCAACAACATACAATGTAATATCATCTTGCGAAACACTAATGTAAGCAATGAATCGTTCAACATCTTCATTGTCGGTTAACAAATAAATTTACCTTTTCTCTGATAAGATAGCCTAAATCCACTTAAGGGCTCTAAATTCAATTTATTTACAACACGTAACATTAGAGTTTCATAAGTTAACTTTTTTAATGACAGTTTTAGTTGAAGATTCATGGGTAAAGGCATATATTGTAAAACACCATGAACATTCTCCCATGACCCTCCAAAACACAAATCTATCTAAACATGATCAACATTAGATGATTTCATTATTGTAAATTAATTTACTAAACAAACGAGCTGCGCAACTAAAACCTGTTGCCGGATGGGGAAGGATGTCGTTGGATATAGGAACGAATGTCGCCGGAGAGAGTGATAGATGTAGATGGAATGAGTTGTGATTTAGGGATTTAGTTTATGAGTTTCTTCTGCTGCGTAGTTATATACCCAAAACATTTGTGTTGCGAAAATAAAACCTGTTGCGAATTTGAAATTCAGTGTTGCGACAGTCAGAATCGCGTTGCGATAGTCAGAATCGCATTGCGATTTACATATTCGCATTGCGATTTACATATTCGCATTGCGATAGTCGGAAAATCGCAACGCGAATTTAAAAAATCGCAATGCGATAGTCAGAATCGCGTTGCGAATCTGGAAACTGATTTGCGATACCGGAGATCGCGTTGCGAATTATCGATCGCATTGCGATTTAGTTGGTCATTTTGGCAAATCCAAAAAAGTCGGTTAAAATCGTATATTATAAGGCATTTTCGGTCACTGAGGTTATTTTCTCTTAACTTTTTCATCCATTGTATACATAGTGACCAAGTTCCACAATTAATTTATTCGGATAAATAAGAATAAATAGGTGTATTTTATTTTATTATTTCAAAATTTTGAATTTAAATATATTTATTTAAAATAAAAATAAAAAATAATTAGTAAGTCAGAAGTGAAAAAGGTTTATATCTTGCCATATTGACTTGAAATAACTACCTGCCATACAATATCCACTCAAATCAACGCGCTAATGTATTAATATAAAACTGGCAAGTGTCTTATGTTCGTACCAAGATTTTAGTTCATAATAAATTTTGAATATGTAATAGGTAATTGTCTAGTATGACAACTTAATTTAAAGTTAAAAGAATGGTAAAAAATAAATACATTAAAAATATTATAAAAATTATAATATTTTTGATTAGTCGAAGTTCAAAATGTTAACTTTTTAATATCTTAAATGTTATGGATAATGTAACATTTTCGGTTATCGACTGAAAATGTTATAAATAAAGTTTTCAATCGAAAAATGTTAAAAAAAATTATCATTTTAAGTTGCGTCCAACTGAAAATATTATGACTTTTACAACATTATTTTACCACGCATTTCCTCAACCTTAAATTAAGTTGTTTTTCTTTAGACTTTCTCATATATAATAGTATAGCGTTAAGTAATGGAACCACATCGTTGTACGATATACCTCTAAAATTTTTAAATCAAATTATAATATTCCCTATATTTTTTTTAAATTATACCAATTAAAATTTATTCTCTTAAATCTTTCGAGTAAATTATTTTGTAAATCTATATTGATTTTGAAATTAGATAATTAAACTTTGACCTAATTTTTCTAATATTAATGCTTCTTAAGTCCTTATTAATTTTAATATTAGAAAAAACAAGTAACATTCTTGTCGTTTCTGTTAAATACTTCTTATATTGATATCAATTCTAAATTTAAACAAATTAAACCCTAATTTTTAACTTTTAAAATTTAATTTAACGCTGGCTTATTTTTATTACTATTTATATTTACTCTTAATCTTTCATGCTAATTTGTCTCAGATAAAATTTGATACATACCGTAAGATTATATTACCTAAAATTATTTTCGTCAAATTAAATATAAATGAATTATTTTTAATGCTTATATTTTATTAACAAAATATATAAAAAAAAGGAAGTAAAAGAGAAATTAAAGTAAAGGCTTTTCGACACGCACGCCCATAAAAGTTCCTAGATTTTGTGGACGATCCATATGAAATGACAAATGGGCCCATGGTCCACTGCTGCGTCATGCTCACTGGAGCGTGACCAAAAGGGTCCTGTTTACTGTTATTTATGTACAGTGTACACTTTCTCTCAATTATTGTTGTCTTTTAACGTGGGTTTGGAGCTCGATTAGTGACCAAATTAACATGAAGATTTGTATTGTCTCGATGAGATTAGGCTAAACCAAGCTTTGCAAGTTGAGATAAGTAAAATCCTAAGATGCTTTTCTATCTAAACATCTTGTCCAAATCTTGTTGATAGATTTGATGGTTATAATTAATTATAGAATAAACTACATATTTAGTACTTAAAATATAAACTACAAGTTTTAATCTGTTTTAATACATAAACTTTCGATTTTTTTAAATCTTATTTAAAATTTAGTTTTTGTTTCATTTAAGTACCCATGTTCAAAATTTAACTTTAAATTTTTTTAAAAAAAATCTCGAAAGTTTAGGTACTAAAACTGATAGTTTAAGTACTAAACACGTTAAGTTTTTAACGGATGATAATAAAATAGAATAAAAACTAAACGTTACATATGATTTTGAAGAAAACAAAAATTCAGGTACTAAAACATATCAAAACCGATAATTTATGTATTAAATGTATAGTTTACCCGAAATTATAATATCATGATTTTAAGTCTCATTGGCATAAGACTTTAATTCGATAAATTTTGATCTAAACTGATTTTATTTGATTAATTTTCTTAAAAAATAAATTAAATTGAATGAGTTATTAAATTTTGATAATAGTTCAATAAAAGATTATTACAAAACTGTTAAATTAGTCTTCCTTTTAAAATATTTCTTCATTTTATGTTAAATTATATATATATATATATATATATATAAGAACTCATGGATAAACCTTCAAACTTCTTATGCCTTTAAAAAACTAATTATTTTATTTTATTTTTTAAAATATAATTTTTTGATATAAATCTTATGTATAAGCCTTTAAACTCTTAACTAATTATCTTCAAATTATGTTATTATTGTAATATACAAATTACATTTTTTTTAAAGGAAGGATTACATTTTTTAAATAAATAATAAAAATTTGAATATTAACGTTTGAATTGAAAGATATATTCTTATAATAAATTTAAATAAAAATTAATTTAAATTAATCAACAATAAATTAAATTTAATCATAAAAAATAGAATAGTTTCCTTGTAAGAAATGTAGTCCACATATCTATAGATAACAGTCAATTTCAAGATGAGTCGTTGGATAAGCTTGGTCGACGTGGCAGTATTAGAGCCTATACGGAACAGTGCTGTCCAACAACGGTGAAATGTACTTAACAATAATTTTAAACCTTATTTTTACAAATATCCATAACACATTTTATATTTATTATTAAAAATTGAAAGAGATAAGTAAAGGTATAGCTTAAAAACATCAAGAGTAAACTACATTTTTAGTAATTAAACTATTAGTTTTAATCTGTTTTAATACTTAAACTTTTAACTTTTTTAAAACATATCTAATGTTTAGTTTTTGTTTCATTTTAATATCCGTCGTTAAAAATATGTGGCACACTTTTTATGAGTAAAATGTATTAGTCATCACTCAACTGTCTTCTTACTTTATTTTAGTTACTAAAATTTAATTTTTTAATTTAATTACTTAACTTTCAAATTACTCCTAATTTAATCACTCTTAACTTTCAAATTTTTTTATTTTTAACTATATATTAATAAAATAATAATAAAAATGTCATGTCACAAAAATTATTAACAAAATAAATTAGAGTGATTAAAATAGGAGTGATTTGAAAGTTGAGTAGTTAAATTAAAAAAATAAACTTTAATGCCAACATAGGAGTGAGAAGATAATTAAGTTTTTAACGGTGATGTACTAAAATTAAACAAAAATTAAACTTTAGGCATGATTTTAAAAAAAATATAAGTTTAATTATTAAACTGGACCAAAACTGATAGTTTAAGTGCATAATTTTCCCAAAAAGTAAAAACCAAAACTAATTAGGTGTCATGCTTTCACCCCATGCTTTAAGCCAACTAGTCAGTAGTCACAGCTCACCAAATCATGGACAATAGGGGTCCAAGTCCTTCAATTAAAATGAACCAAAATCCACTGCTTTAATTGACTTCATTTGATTAATTAATACTATATTTAAGTTGGTGGTGGTGTGGTTCTCTATAAAGATACTACACCATACTTTCTCCTCTCTGCCCAAATACCTTCCTTTTTCTTCCTCTGAAACTGCTGCCGAAGAAGAATGGGAAACTGTCAAGCCACTGATGCAGCAACTCTGGTTCTTCAGCACCCGTGCGGGAAGATAGAGAGATTCTATTGGCCTTTGAGTGCTCGTGAAGTTATGAAGATGAACCACGGTCACTATGTGGCTCTGCTTATATCCACCACCTTTTATCACTCGAATCCTCGTAACAACGATAAAGCTCCACGGTCACAACAAACGAATGCAAGCCCTGTTCGCTTGACCAGGATTAAGCTTCTTCGACCGACGGATACTCTTCTTCTCGGTCATGTTTACAGGCTCATCACCACTCAAGGTACAATAAATTAATAATATTACGGTTGTTGCTTGTTTTTGTAATCTGATTTTGACTTGGGTTTTCTTTTTCTGGGGTTTTCAGAGGTTATGAAAGGATTGAATGCGAAGAATCATGCAAAGACGAAGAAGAACCAAGAATCTGCGGCCGAGAGATCATATGAGAAGGCTGCTGGTCAGAGATCTGAACCGGATAAGGTGAGCAAACATGAAAGACAGCGATCGAGGTCGAACTCTGCGGCCAGATCAAAGACTTGGCAGCCTTCATTATACAGCATCACCGAGGCTACAACAACCTGAGGATATTTTTCATGTTTTTTTTGCCACATTAAATTGCTGCATAAGAGACATAAAAGAACCCCCCAAGCTTCTTTTTTTTAACATGTAAAAAACCAATACACGCAGTTTCTCTCACTTTAGGATCCATATGTAGTCTAGGGAAACCCAGAGAAATTACCAGACCTTTCTTCAACCTGCAGATCTTGTACATCCAAAAGAAAAAGAAGAAAACCCGACAGAGTTTGTAACATCCAGCACTGTTATGCAATGGAGTCCTAGTATTTTTTACTATTTTCCACACTGATACCATCATTGTTATCTTAGAATGCAAGAAAATCACAGAGCCAAAAGTTTCAAAGTCAGAGTTTTGATTACTGTTTTTACGAAATTACAACCAGTAAAACTGTCAAACAAACTTAATCATGATGAGAAAAAGCATTATCTATTTAAAGGTTCCATCCATCTCGACTCCGAATATAATCAAAGACGAAAGATCTCAGAAAGGTTGATTAATTATCAAGCAACAACAATCTCATTTGTTAGGGAAGCATTGCTGCTTTACAGAGCAGATATTGAAGATAGTGTTACAAGGGTTGGGCATCTCACCCGAACTCGAAGGGTTCCGATTTGATATAATCTTATCGATTCTTTATTTTAAAATTCAGAATTCGGGTTAGATTTGAATTTATAATAAAATAATTGACTCCACTTGATATTATATTATAGTTAAACCCTCATAAATACTAGATTAAATCGAATGTATATAAAGGAGACTAATTTACGGATCAAATTTAAATAGACTAAAAATTCCACCCGACTCATAATTATTTCTAACAGTGTAAACGAGGTACTTCCGGGAATAATATGAATGCAAAGTACGCAAGGGAATGTGGGTATGAATCAACAATAATGGTTATGCAAGTAGGCCATATATCATATCAATTCTAGTGTATATTATAAATAAAAATCACTATTTTTCAAACCAATAGGCTCTACTAAAATACAAAGTAATCGAGGTCGTAATAATTGCCTCCATGGACCATAGCTTTTTCCTCTCTTATATGGTCCCTAAAGTTCCATGACCATGAATAGATAATTAAAAGTACATGCACCAGCTGATAATGTCCCTCCTAGGTTAATTTTTATAGTTTGAAATCTACCTACTTAAATATATTTTTATATTATAATTATTATCACAATTTCATTTAATTTATTGAATTATAAAATATAGGTTTAAGGGTATACCGTCTCGGTATTAGACTTAATTTATTATTTTCGTTCATATGATTTTTTTGCATATATTTAATGAGAAGTTATTTACGGTGTTCATCCTAACTCTCGAAGTCTGTTAACTGTTTTGACTGACAGAACTGTATGTCTTTTGGGTCTATGGATTATGTGATTAGGTTAAAATATTTAAGTGAGATTAAGGATTAGGTCAAATTTTGAGGATTTTTTCTAACTATTGTATTTAGTAAATATCTTATTATTTGTTCTTTAAATAATGTCATGCCATCACTAAGCCACGTCAGTAATATTGACTGATCTAGAAATTGTTGGTTTGAAAAACGTAGAAGACTAACGTTTTGTTACTCAAAACGGATTTTAAAGGCTAAGATAAACACCGTAAACAACTTCGAGGGCTAGGATGATGCAAAAAAATTATAGAGACAAAAATGATAGATGAGTCTACTATAGGAGCAAAAGTAACCCTTAAGCCTAAAATATAAGTCGAATTTATATTTTTAAATTTAAATGAGTGCACCTTATAAAGAAGTATCAATTGATTTAATGGTATTCATTCTGCATAAGGTGTAGATGATGGGATAATGTTAATGATAAGGCATGAACAATTTATTAAATTAGAAGTAGCAATTATTATTAATTATGTAATAATTTGGGGTCCATTGAAATAAAAAAGGAATCTTTTGTAATATTTAAAAAGCATGATTTGTTCTTTTTTGTTTAATAATGTAATAATAAAAGTAATGCTCCACTTCAGTCTTAAGACAATATTGGAGTGAGACATCTGCAACCAACTTAAAAGCAGTCGGATCATTCTGCGTAAAGCGTGAGGGGGAGAAACTAGTTTATTTTAGTGGATTTTGATATTTTTGTTGGCTTGATTTCTTAATTTAAAATCCACATTTTCTCACAATATTAATTTAATTTAATTTAATTTAAAAATAAATTGAATAATAAAATTCATCATATAAACCTACTAATAATCCGTTGATTTAGTGAGATGAAACGCATAATTATTTAAGCAGGAACAGATATTCAAATCCTGACTATCATAAATAGAGTAAACTGGGTAGGAAGAATTGCCCTTACCTCTGCAGTACCCGATCCAAATTAATCAATTAATAGATCGAATATCGGTGGTTAATGGTAGGTAGGGCTGAGCAACGAAACCGAGAAAACCGAAAAACCGACACGAACCGAGTAAAACGGTTCGGTTCGGTTCGGTTTGGCTTTAAACGATTCGGTTTTCGATTCGGTTTAAAGGCTTCATTTTTTTGATTCGGTTCGGTTCGGGTTTTCCATATGGAACCCATTTGTTCCATATTGAACCGAATAGGCAATTTTTGTAAAAAAAATTATAGTTTCAAGTGATTTTTTTATTGAAAAACCGATAAACCGAACCGAAAAACCCAAACCGTTAAAAAAACCGAACCGAACCGAAAAAATCGGTTTCGATTTTTTCGGTTTTTTAACTATTCGATTTCGGTTTAAATATTGAAAACCCGTTTATTTCGGTTCGGTTCAATTTCAATTTTTGGTAAAAAACCGAACCGAACCGAATACACCCCTAATGGTAGGCACTTAAAGTGTGACAGAGAAAACATTATACATTTATTTTTAACAAAAATTTCTTTAAACATTAAAAAAATCAATTTTAAGTATAATTTAAAAATCTAAAAGTATATTAAATCATCTTAATATTAAAAAAATTAATTGATAATTCATCAAAAGATTCCTAAACAATTCTTTTAAACTTATATCTTCTAAAAAGAATTCTTCAAGAAAGATACTAATAAAGTAATTTTCTTTAATATTTGAATTTTTATATTTTAAATCATGTTATTCTTCTGGTGTGGTTTTTAAAATTAAATTATTCACATTTTAAAATTATTCTCAAAATACGAATAGTTGTAAGGCTTGAGCAACACACAGGAACAGGATCCCTATTTCTGTGGGCCATTATTGGCATGTAATCTAGTAATGCCTGATGCAAACTTTGTCTCTATTAGTATTAAATTCAAGGGTAAAGTACACAAATAGTCCCTTAATTATAAATTATTACTTTATTAAGTCCTTTGACTATTAAAAGTTACAAATAGCCATTCGACTATAGAATGTTATTTTGTTAAGTCACTTGACTATTAAAAGTTACGAAATGGTCACCCGACTATTTATTATGTTCTAAACTCATTATTTTTCGTTAAAAAATTAGCAGCTATTTAAGTTGAACGTTAATATAATGATTGAGATATGATAGTAGTTTGAGATTTTGGGATTATATTTTATCATACACAGTCAACATGTTAACATCTAGCTCAGAATATCATCAAAGTTTTATCCAAAAAGGACGAGTTTGGAACACAATGAATAGTCGGATGACCATTTTGTAACTTTTAAAAGTCGACAGACTCAACAAAACAACACTCTATAATCAGAGGACCATCTTATAACTTTTAATAGTATATGGACTTAAAAATCAATACAATGTAGTCTTGAGACCATTTGTGTACTTTACCCTAAATTCATTGGGATCAAATTTAATCTAAATTCTTATAATTATCCAATATGAAAATATTTCGAGGGCAGCTGAGATATAGTAAAACCCTGTCACATAGTGAGACCATCTAAGTAATGCATTGAGAATGACAGCATTTAAAACAATGGCAATCACAGTGAATGGCTCCTATTAAACAGGCCCCTCAATTTTTCAACAGACATTCCCTTCTAGTGATGGATTTTAATAAAATATTTTGAGGAAGATTTAAATAAGAAATTTAAAAATTTTAAAACGTTTATTTGTTTAAAAAATGACTTAATTAAAATATTTAAAAATTAAAAATTAATAATTTTATATTTAATGTGATGCATTGCTTACACCGGAAGTGTGAAACAAATGAATACCTACCTATACCAATTATTCCTCCGCGGAAATTTATTCTTTTTCCTATATTACTATCGAATTTAAGTTTTTTTTTTAAATTTTTTTTACTGAATTTAATATATTGAATTTTTTTTATCATTCAATCGTTTTCTCACTAACAATGTTATAAATGAACTTTTATATAGATGAAAAACGACACCGTTTTAATGAAAATTATGATTTTTTTTAAAACGACATCTTTTAGCGCCGTTAACTATTTGACGGCGAAGTGATAAAAAAACTCATGTATTAAGTTCAATGAGTAAAATAGGAGATAGAGTAAATTTAGTGATGAAATTTGTAATTTACCCTTCCTTGGCTGCACCAAAAAGTTATGTTCTTTTTAGATTTGCGTCAAAGAATCAGACTATTCTTTACCATAGACTCTCGGAATTTGACAATCATCACATGATTTTTAAGATTTTTTTATCTACTGAATCCAGTCAAGGACCATGGTATTATTTATCGTTGGACCTACTATATAATTTACGCTTATAATAACATAATATAACATTCATGTGTAAATAAAAAAGATGTGAAAATGGATGGATTAACACCAATCATCTTGGCATGCATTTACAGCACATCCACTGCTTTTCAACTCTTATTCATTACCATAGACTTGGGGAGTTGGAGACGACCTTCAAGCGTTGAATGAGAACACACACACATGCATGCATACGCATGCATACATGATACATAGACTATGTTCATAATAGAAACATGAAGAAGATATCAAAGCCCTTAAGTGGTCTCAAATGTTTTAGAGTAAATTACATTAGATATCCTTAAATTATATCAAAATAATATTTTCTGTCAATAAACTTTCAGATACTACAAAATAGTTGTTAAATTTTTCAAAAGATTACAATTCGATCATTAAAATTCATCTAATCATTGTAAAATGATCATTAATTTATTAATTAATATAAAATAATCTTTAAGCTTAGCAAAATTTATTCTTTATAAAATAATCTTTAAGCTTAGCAGAATTTATTCTTACTTTATAGTATATTAAGACTATCTTATGACAATTTGATAAATTTAATGATCATTTTTGTAATATATGAAATCTCATTGACCAAGAGAATCATATTTACATAGTCCAATGATCTCTAATGCACTTTACCTAATTATATATGGAATTGACATCTTTGCCAATTATTTATCGAAATATTAACCATTTGAGTAGTGGGTGTGTTTCATATGACAAAAACGTATAAATCAAAATATAAATAACACTTAACAATATGATTTTTTACTAAACAATGACACTTTATCTTGGTGGTTAAGACATGTATGAATAGTGGTTGAGTTTTGGTTAAAAACTCAAAAGTTAAGTGATAAATTAAGAAGGGTAAATTTCACATTTAGTACCTAAACTATTAGATTTGATCCATTTTAGTTCCTAAACTTTCAGTTTTTTTTTCTTCAAAATCATACTTAAAGTTTAGTTTTTGTTTTATTTTAGTATCCGTTCAAAATTTAACGTTAAATTTTAATTTTTTTTGAGAGTTTAGATACTAAAACGAACAAAAAAATGATAGTTTAGGTACTAAACGCATTAAGCTTTTAATGGTTGGGTGTTAAAATGAAATGAAAACTAAACATTAGTTATGACTTTGAAAAAAATTAAAGTTTAGGTACTAAAACGGACTAAAACTGGTAGTTTAGGTAAGAAATACATAGTTTACCCAATAAAAAACTTATAAATTTAGTGATCAAAAAAGAAATACAACAAAAACTAAGTGACTAAATATGTAATTTATCTATTCAAAATCTATAGTATTGTAATAACCACGGTAACAGACTCAACCAACAAGTTAAACGAGTAAATGATTAATGTTCTATTCTGGTACTTTAGGTTCGAGTACTAGTTATAAAATTACCTTTCTCAATTTGTATCCTTGTAACGTAAAAGATGAGAGATTCAGTGTCTCTGAAGAGGTACTCATGACGAATGATATGAAGAAAGCATGATGAGTGATATATGGAATGACATAACATGCTTAATATGAAGAAACCATACATGTTAACGTCCCCTATCATGGATGCATGGAGCTTTGGAACACCATTAGTATTTACAGTGCTGTCAAAGAAGCTCCACGAACAGGAATGCTGTAGGATAAATACCAGCATCTTTCAGGGTCATTCCCATTTGATCAACACTGTATGCTCTCTTCGGGAAACTCGATATTAGCTGGTAGTTTCCGATCTCCGGTAGTCCTAATGAGTCTACGTATCTGTAAATTGAGAGGATCTTGTCTGTGGAAGAAAAGCTCTGCTCCCTTCTTACGCCGCTAGGAAACCGAATCAGTATCTGATAATTCATTGGATGCGTTAATGTTTAAGAATCATGTTGGTCTGATTAAGATTTAAGACAGTAAATTGGCTTGTAATATGCACCCGAGTGTCTTTCCCTTGAGTAGATGAGTTCTGCCTTGATTTACTTAGTTGTTTCCCTGGATGCATCTGCCTAAGCTTCTAATGGCTTTTGTGCTCTTGCATTCCTAAGCTCTTCCTTTTCCTGCAAGAAAAGAAAAGAAAAACTACATTGTTCTTGTTAATCGATGTTCATGCCCGAATATGGCTTATTCATGTCCGAATATGTGACACACTTGGTCTCTCCGTAAAGCAGCGAAATATGCAACATCTTGTTCTTCTCGCAGCCGACGATCTGCCCTTAACTTTCTTCCTTTCTAGCTCTGGCTCTTAACATTTCCTCTTCATTATGCCTCGCACTACTAGTGCCGAAAGCAGACCCTTATTCTTCGATTGTCCTCTGTAGAATCTCGACCAGCTCGGCTGGATCAATTGGACCCTTCATCTAAAACACAAACAAGGTAATCTCATCGTTGTTGGTACTATCGATTTGAGAGTATTAAACGAGCAAACGCATGTTAAACCGACCTGTTGCAACACGTCAATAATGTTGCCTGCAGCAGGGGCAATCACGGCACAGAAAGGGAAGGTAGCAGGCTGGAGAGTCGCAGCCATTTGTAGACCCTCTCCTCTGTCTGCGAATGCTCCCCAGGACACGAAGTTCGTACTGAGAAACTGTACTACCGGATTCGAACTCAACATCGTTGAACAAAACGAGGGAGTGAAGGGATGTTCAGGGGAGTGGAGATACATGAACATCAACCTGTGATCGTCCTCGGCTATCTTTAGAGCCTGCATGAAACTACAGCAGTAGAAGAATGGATGCGTATTCCCGTATTGGTGCTAGAAACCGGCTAGAAAAGCTCGATCTTCGGGTACGGCTTCCAGGTGAAGTAGTTGTTGATGTTGCAGCTAAGGTCCAGCCGGTGGCTGGATTTGGTTTCTTCTACCCATTATTGCTCTGGAAAACCCTCCGATTATTCTTTTGGGAAGGCATACTATCCGGAAAAAAAATCCCATTGCAAGAGGGTTGCCCTCTAGTTCTCACACTTGCTCTTATCTTCAAGGACATTGCATAGTTGCTGTTTTGCTCACAAGAATGCTGCGGATTGATCAGATTTCAAAATTTATAGAAACGAGAACTGCTTGTTTGGCAAGGTGGAAAATTTAGGAGAGGAACTAGGAAGTAGAAAGCAAAGTTGTTGATATTCCCTTGGGGGAATTTATCACGCGATGTGTCTTGATCATCTTTGTTACACACTTTAATTAAAGTTGTTAAAGAGTACTGATTCGTACTGCCTGCCATTTGTACAAGGCGATGTTTGGTTCGCAATCATTAAAATCAGGTGACTAGCGATGTCATATAGATTCTAGTCGTATAATATGTAGATTTATCACGTCATCTCAAAATATTAATGACTAGTTAATTAATAATTTTTACTTACGAAAGAATCTTTTGATCTAAAAAAATATTATGAGTTAAGATATTTCAAAATTTGTTATAGAAATGCTTGTCAAAATCACTCTCAAGTTATCTAGTAGAGGTTTTAGTTGTTTGGGTCACAGCATAATGGCCCTATCTAAGGTTCTACTGTCTGCCCAAGTGCAAGCCGAATTTCTATTTGCGTTGAACCAATATGTATTAAATAAAAATAGTTCAAATGAACATGACTGAAATGTTGTAAAAAAAGGTTTGTGTTTAAATGCAGTCAATTTTTATAATCATCCTAAAGTACTAAAAAATGTAATCAACTTTGTGGAAGATGAGTGATGCATCCATCCATCCACCCACAATCCTACGTCCCTCGGTTCATGCAACATTGGCTGAAACTGACAGCCAAAAAAGAAGTTTCAGACGTGAATTTGTCATACCTCCAAGCACTTTCAAGAATCCATGTGCTTGGTAAATCACCAGAAAAATCCAAAAAGAACCGGATTGATGGTTTCACAGAATCTAACATGGAGTCGGTTTGATTTTGGTGAAGATTGATACTGACATTTGTGTTTGCAGTGGGGAACTTGTTAGGGGCCTTGACACGGCCCTGATCGGACAGGGTACAGGAGTCAGTGAGTTCGAGGGGCTGCTGTTGAGGCTATCTTCAGTGCAGTTCTCCCGATTGAAGTCTTTGAATCTTCGGCAATCCTCCGGGATCCGATGTTAGCTTTATTTACTGAGCTGTTCTGTTTATTGTCCATCGTAAAATTAGGGACGACGGGTGACACATAACTATACCTTTCATTGAAAATCACATAAATATGGCTTCAAGTCTAGTCAACTTATTGCAACATGTAAACACAGGAAAGTCTCCATCTAACCTTGGTCAATTTCCAGAACAAGATCTGATCAAAACAAAAAAAAGGAAAAAGACCCAGAATAATGTCCAGTCCAGTCAACTTATTGCAACATGTAAACAACAATTCCAGGGAGTTTCTCTAGAGATGTCAACATAATCTACGGACCCAAAATCTCCGGAATTAGAGCAGGCAAAGATACTGGGCTTGCAAACTAAATAGAGTACGTCTCTCAGGTTAAAATGTTACATTGTACATAAAAAATTACATATGTAATAAATAAATAAAATATTAATTAAAGGACTGCACCTTCTCTTTTCTTTGAAGATAAGAATCGAGAGCATCGCGTAAGAGGAGAACCGTGTGCTAGATACAACAGCTGAAGTTGCTAAATGGTAACCTCATCAACTGACATTAAGTTGCGGCACAAGGAGCCAGTGTTCTAGCAGGCAGGTTAATTCCTCCTCCCCTGAGGGACAATGAAGGGTTATTTACTGAGCTGCCTTTGCTCACAAGATTCGAGTCGAGAAATACAACTACGACTGTGATGTCATCATGGAAATGCCTGCGTATGCCTCGCTCGATCTTCTTCAAATCTGAGTATCGCATTTCTCTCTTTTTAGCGGCTTCCTGCAAGGCAGCTTTCACAAGCCTCCTTGCAATACCCTGTGAAAAAACAAACAAACAAACACAAGACGATTCATATCAAATACTTTTGTCCATGCTCCTCACTAACAGGGCTCCTCGACAATGATATGACCATTGCTGCATTGAGAGGTAATACATATGAATCCACAAGTCATTCATATCCCTTCTGTCATTCTATAGCAATTACAACAACACATATAGGACAAAACAAACAAAATATGTGAGCTTGGTTGCTAAAGGCTCCATTCAATTATCTGCAAACCTAGATTACAAGCTTAAATTGCAATAGGACAGAATTGCTTCAAGTTAAGATGAAGTCACAGTTCAATGAAAAACACATAAATATGCCACTTGGTGCCATACACCACAATTCATGCGGTAATAAGTGTATTATAACTTGATAGTCCAACCACAATAATTCTTCACTCAGAGAAGTATTCTTACATTGCGTGGATGGTTTTGGACTATGTCAACTGCATCTTGATTGCTGAGATGTTCCCAAAGTCCATCAGAAGCAAATATGATAAACTGATCATAAGGTTGGAGTTCATATGTAGATATTGAGGGTTCAGAACTCAAAATTGGCTTTCTAAAAGTTTCACGAAGACGAAACTTTTGATATAGAGGTGTCCTGTTGTATTCGGCCTTTTTAAGATAAACATCACCAATAGATCTAGAAACCTGCAACAGAAAGGTTTTGTTAATGTTACATGTATATTAGGACACGTAACATCCCGGAATATAAATTATCCATTGTTGATTAATGGATAATGTTATGAGCAAATAACTTGGTTAAAAAATATAGCCTAACCAAATGAATGCTTTAAAATTACAATATTGGCATAAAGGATTAAAAATAGACTAGAGCTCCTTCACTTGGTTAACTTTCTATTCAGTTAATTTTACGTTTTAGTTTTTTCAATCAATTTATAGCATTAGCAATATCAAGAAAACATAACTTTTGTAGAACCCTTGGTATGTCTTTTACTAATATCCAAACAAAGAACTTACCTGTATCAGGCCCTTTACACGCCAAACATTATGTTTTAAAACTACAATGTGAGAGTCATCAGGATGCAAAGATCGCATCTCCTGCCTGACAGACTCTATTGCTACATTATGCTCAGATGACAGCTGGATTGCTAGAACCTCCCCGGTTGCCTTAACAATCCTACCAAGCACAGCACGAGAATCGCCAACGTTGGCAATGTAAAGGGTCCCATTGCAAACAACACCCACCAGGCAGCATGATCCAACAGCTGCAATCTGCGGATTCATGAGCCACTGTTTTGCAACAATAGAGAAAAATCCCTCTTCTGTTGCTTGATATGCTTTCTTTATAACATCAACAGACATTGATTGCTGCTCCGCAGCAAACCCTGCAAAACAGTATCATCAACTGAGTCACCAAGGCATCAACCAGATTTTCAACCTAGAATTTTGGCACTCAACTAACTTCTAGTGCAAGTTCAATAGCTCGTCCTTGAAACTTCTGAAATTAGAGATTTTATGCATTAGAAATCTGTAATGACAGTAATTGTTAAAGGTCCCAATGTCTCTTACTCTTTAGATGTTGGAACAGATGATCATTGATATAACGTGATGTCTCAGGGCCACCATGACCATCATATACTCCTACAAAGGTACCTAATGGACCATACTCGAGAGTGCTCAAGGAACCAGATTCAATCTGGCTCTGATCCTCAAGCAGATTGTTAGCCTGGACAACAGCCATGGAAAATTCACCAGTCAAGTGTTGCCCTTTGTCTTTGTACCAAAGGAGCCCATCTTGCCGGCCTGCTGCATCCGAACCTGCGTGGACCGATCGATCTGAAGATGGCTGCCAGCAGGCACTCAGAAAATTGACCAACCTTGATAACATCCCTCATCTCACCACAGCCAGCCTCCGATTCCTCCTCGACATCCAAAAATTGGATGCAACAAGCCCACCAAAAATCAATAAACTCCCACCAGAGTCCTCTCCTGCGAGCCAAAAAAAATGCACACCCGTTAAATCAGCAGACAATTGAACAAATAGTAGCTCAAACAACTAATCATCAAGACCCAGAAAGCAAACTTATGACTAGAAACCGATAACCCAAACTCAATTCTGCAAAAAGTATAAAATGAGGGGAAAAAGAAGAAACCTTTAGCTAGTACTTTTAATCAAGTTAATGAACAAAAACGACAACAGTTGTGGCCAAAAGGAAAAGTGAAGAACAAAACAGGGAAAGTCAAATCTACCTTTTACATTCCCACAATTGAACAAAACAATACAAATCAGTTAATACACACGAAGTTCCACAGCTATAGATGCTCATTAACTAATCAGAATCATATTTTCAAATCAATCACATAAACAAATTAAAAAAAAAGTAACTCACAGTAGAATTAAGCTGTTTCGTACTGTAGTATTCAGCTACTGAATGATACAGCAGATGCAATCGACGGAGGTCTGAACGGAATAAAGCAGTTCAATTGGGGTTTTGAAAGCGTGAGATATAGATACCCATCAAATGAAACACTTAAAGATCGATGGGGTTTCTTCTTAATTTCACTTTGGGGGTTTCCTCTTCTTCCCTCTGTTTGCTTTGCAAGTAAAAGAGGGGGGAATTAAGAATCAGAGAGAAATAGAAAAGTAAACGAAATGAAAACTGGATTTGGGTGTTTCGATCTTCCTCCGTAGACAAAAAGGGTTTATAAATGAAAACGAACGAAGCAATGGGATGGCTGTATGATAGGCATGGCCAGCAATGCATACGAACAGCTATGGGCTCCACACACACACATGTACATACATCCATACATTACTCTCTCTTCTATTTCACTCACTTTATTTTAAATCTTTGTCAATCTCATCACTAAACTTAATACATTATATTTTTATCACTCCGTGGTTTTTTACTAACGATGTTATGACATGCTTTTTTTTACTAAAAAAATCAATGCATAAAATTTAGTGATTAAATTGAAAAAATCAAAAGTATAATTAGTGAAATAAGAGAAAAAAATTAAGTTTAATGATTGAATTTGTAATTTACCCATTAAAAAACCATATCATAACCCAAAGAAGTCCGAGTGACAAAAAATTTAATATATTAAATTCAATGAAAAAACTAAGAAAATTTAAAGTACATAAATAGAATCAGATAGGGTAAAATTTAGTTACTAAATTTATAATGTATTCATTTATAGAGTTTATTTTAATTATGTGATAAATTTTTATATTTTAAATAATTAATATTATTTATAAAGAGACTTAGAGACATTATTTCATAAATTTTAGTTATTACAATTATTATATTTGTGCCATCCTAAAAAATTAATAATGAAACGTATTTATCAATTATGTAAACTATTTATTTACTAAAACACTATTTTAAAATGATAATTAATATACACGAACTAAGTACCCTCTGTGATAAATAAATTATTATTATTTTTAAAGATTCAGATTTAAACATCATAGATATCTGAATGTGATCTTTCAATATCGAAAAGTTGAGTTATATTGAAATAAACTATTTTATTTAATTAATAATTTTTAAAAAAAATTAAGTGACCTAATTGCATATTTATCATGTTGGGGCTAGGGCACCTCTTGGGATAGGTGTGCAGATTCCTTGAATGCAAACGTACACGTGTACATCCATGTGAACATGCAAGTGGCAGATATATGTGGATTTATAATTAATATTATTGGTGTTTTCATGTACCGATATTAATAAATAACACTCCACGTGCCCGTCTTCCTAAAATCTAGAAGGCTAAATTATCAATTACTCGGTTGCTTTCGTATAACGGAAGATATTGTTTAAATCATAAATTCCGATATTTTAATTTTATTTAATTGATAAATTTAAAAAAAATTAGTATATCTTCTTCGAAATAAAAAAAGTCAATGGCAAAAGGGAGGGCAACTGGTAGAGCCACAAATTTCAGTGCCGCGTATACACGTGTAAGGTAGGTATTGTTTGTTTTTGATTAATCACATTAATTCAATGGTCTCAATTTGTTTTACTTTTTAACCCAATTAAATAATAAATACGTCAACAGACTGCTTATTTTCATTCATTTATTTGAAAATTACAAAAATATAATTATCTTTAAACATATATAAAAAATATCTGAATTTAGTAACTATTACAGGTAGAGTATGAGACTTTTTATCCTAAATTCAGCTCGAACTCATTATTTCACAAAACTCATCCCGAACACGAATTTAGAAAGGAATTTGGACCTTGTAAAATAGGGTCAAAAACAGTTTCATGTATTTTGGCCCTCCCTAAGGGCACATGATATAGAGTCATAGACACTATGCAGCAAGGTTAAGTACTATTAGCCTCATCAAAAACAAAACAAATAATGGTGGAGCAACTAAGGGTCCTTCAATAGCCCAGAAATTCGAAAACAAAAGACTTGGTATTTAAGGGTGCGGATCAAAGAGTTAACCTAGGGAAAGCGCATCTAAGATCAAATGGTTCCATGCGGTATCTCCGGGTTCAACATCAGCTCGACTCGACAGGCAGGACATACATATGCCTCAATGATAGAATACTCGGAGTGAAACTAAGAGCAACATTTGACAAGCCATTTTCTAACAAATCATAAACATAAAATGGAAATAGTTTCCGGCCATTGTCTGCAACAACGAAGTGTTACTATATTACTCGACTTGAGCTTGTCTTTAAAGACAGCTCAGTTCTGATACGAAGAGCAGTATAAGTCGATTCATATAAGAATGAATTAAACATGATCATATAGCACCAGAGGAAGAAGTTTCCTGCAGCAATCGAGTAAGAATGAAAATAAGAATTGACTGCAAAAAAATTATGTATGCTAATCTAATGTTGTCAATTACCTCAATCTGCTCATGGCTCAACACAATTTCAGCCAACTGAATGTTTCCACTAAGCCTAGCTGCCTTATCGGATGGCAATAACGAAAAACCGTCTACAAGTTTCACACATTTGAGTCCCCATTTGACCATTAGGAACTCAATAAGATGATGACCGCTGCACATTATTAGTCAGTATAAAGTATAAACAACTAAAGAACTCGATTTTGGAGAACAAGATAACAGTCCCCATCATAATTTCAGTATTGAATACTAGACACTCTGGACCAAAATATATCAGAATACAAACGAGACAGAATAGGAGAAAGAGTACCTTCTATTATGATAAGTTGTTATGAAAACCGAGCCTGGATTACTTTGAAGCAGAAATGTCACAGTAGTAAAGAGGTCATCAAAGGCTAATCGACACAAGTCAGTTATTGTTTCGTTTCAGCATCGATTAATTGATTCCCGAAAGAAAAGGCAAAATAACTAGCATATCATATATCGGTTTTACCTCGTGCATCATAAAGAACATCAGCCCCAAGAATAATTTTCGGGTGTAAACTAAATATGGATTCATCCCAACTTCCCCATGTTAGTCCTAATACCTAGAAACAAAACTTAAATCCATGAAAATCGATTCGCAAGGCTGATTAAGTAACAGTGTATCCAAGCAATCAACATAAAATCATTTTTATCGAAGAAACTCACTTCACACTTCAGTTTGTTTAGTTCACAGACTGTTCTCATGTTTTCCAGCACCTGTATTTATATCAAACAGAACATGTACACAGTACATACAAAAGTATCTGTTGCAGTCGTAATAATTAGTTTAAGCAAAAACAAAATTAGGCCGATAAAAGGATATAATCAAAACAATAATTTCCACCAAAGTAATTAATTTTGGATAAAATTATCAAATTTCAACTCAAAGACACTGCATCAATACTACCTCCGATCTATTTGCATCGTCGGTAAGGGTGACATTGGAGCCAACTTTGGCAGCTATCAATCCAGGTAAGCAAGTTCCTGCTCCAAGCTGCAAAAGAAACAAATATCAAAATTTGAGAGACAATTAAGCTAAAATTTGAATTTATTTATGAGAAATACCTCGACTACATCGTTCCCGGAAAAGAGAGATCTCTGTTGCCAAACATACTCGGCCAATACGATGCTACAAGGCCAAACGAACAAGCCATAGTCTTCTTTCATGTTCTGAACATCATGGAAATGAAAATTACACCCAAATCCTTAAACTTTCTACCCTTTTCCCCCTTTCAGAGTGTTTTGTGAAATAAAAATAATAATACCTCAACGATCGATACGGAGAAGGCGGTTTTCTCAGAGTCGCCGAAAAAATGACGACTTATCGTCGTCATTTGTTGATGAGCCACCGAAAAGATAATACTTCTTTTGTTGGGTCGATCAATTTGTTAGACTTGAAGGGGAAGGGAAAAGAAAACTCCAGTTTTGATTTAATTAGGGTTTGATATGACGGCAAATATCAACACGGCTAATTCCAATATCTCCATTGTAGTCTTGTAGAGAATATCAATGCTAGGCTCGATGAGTCTTTTAAACAAATCTCAAATAGTTGAAGTTAACAGTCCGTTAGTCTAATTGGATAGGATGTATGATATAAATATTAATATTTATAAACCGGTTAAATTGAGTTGAAAAAGTTATTTTCGTCCTTATAATATTTAATTTAGATTAGTTGATTAATATATTAAATATTGATAATTATATAAAAAATAGTTATGATATTAAGTAAAAGTTAAATTTGTATTTATGAAATGTGTGCGTTATGATTTTAATTAAAATAATTTTAAAGAGATGTTATTTTATAATTATCTTAAATTATTCAAAAATAAATATTATATGATCAGTCAGTATTGATTGTAGATAAAAAAATGGACAGGACGGATGCAAGGACCTTATCCCTCCCCAGAATCCTTCGGACCAACGTGACGCCACCAAAAAGTTCGTTTCAAGCCATCGGACGCCACCGAGAGTCTAGATTCGGAGATGGAATTGGCTGATTCCACCCCACAAGTTCCATCCTATGCAGCTGTCCTTTCCGGGACTTCCAACGAAGATGCTCAGGGAAGTGATGGCACTGCCAATAGTTTTGATAACATGGATCTCTCTGATGGAGATTTCATCGCCGGAACTCGTAATGGCCTACCCGCCATCCAGTTTTCTGCTAGAGCCTATAAACTCATGGAGGAAAGTATGATCAGAATGGTAGTCTTAAAGTTCTTGGGACGAAATATAAGTCACAGTACCCTTTCTAATAAGGTGTACACGCTATGGAAACCATCGAAACCTTTCACGCTTATGGATATCGAAAACGGGTATTTCCTAGCTCGTTTCCAAACTGAAGACGATTATTTCAAGGTTCTCGGCGAGGGTCCGTGGATCGTGTTCGGCCAATACCTCACAGTTCAACCTTGGTCAAAGGAATTCCGTACATCCCGACCTTATCCCACAGTGGTGATAGCCTGGATTCGATTCCCTGGGCTGCCTGAATACCTATACTGTTGGATCATAAACTTGATCCATTATGAGAACCCAAACCCAAACCCAAACCCACACCTAAACTAAATTGATGTAAGCAATGACATCTTCCCCTAATTATTGTAAGCAATGACATCAATTTAGTTAGGTGAAAGTTAGGTATATCTTATTTTCAAATGGTTTGAATTAGTTTATTTGTGTGGTGTATGATTGTTTGGAATAATTTATTTGTAAGGTGTAGGATAGTTCTTGAGTAGTATAAATACCCCTCCCCATTTTAGTTTAAACATCAAGAAAAATCAATAGCTTCTAAGTGAGTGAAGAAACAAAGTCTTATAAGAGTGAGTTGTAGTTCTTGTTTTTGAGTGAGAGTGTTCTTGTAATATTTCTTTGAGCTTCAATAAAAGTTGCTTGTGTGAGCGTTTTATTTCCAACAAAGTGGCATCAGAGCGAGTTGGAAGCCGTCAGAATTTTCTCAATCTGAGTGACGCACCGCCACGCACCGCCGGAAGACTGCTATCAGAAAATCAAGTCATTATATTGAGAGATATGGCAAATGGTATGGCACCATTCCAAGTTCCGATACTCAACAAGAACAACTACGACAATTGGAGTATCAAAATGAAGGCACTTCTTGGATCACAAGATGTGTGGGATATCATAGAGAAAGGCTATAATGAGATTGCAGATGATGTTTTTGCTACTCTTACACAAGATCAAAAGACAAATTTGAAGGATTCAAGAAAGAGAGACAAGAAGGCTCTCTACCTCATCTATCAAGCATTAGATGATGATGGTTTTGAAAAGATTTCGAGTGCAAGCTCTAGCAAGGAAGCGTGGGAGAAGCTGCAAACCTCTTACAAAGGATCCGAACAAGTGAAGAAGGTTCGTCTCCAAACATTAAGAGGTGAATTCGAATCCTCACACATGAAAGCATCCGAGTCTATTTTAGATTATTTCTCAAGAGTAGTAGCTGTTTCTAATCAATTAAAAAGAAATGGTGAAAAGTTAGAAGATGTGAGGATAATAGAGAAGATACTCCGTTCGTTGGATCCCAAATTTGAGCACATCGTCGTGACGATTGAAGAAACTAAAGACTTGGAAGAAATGACGATCGAGCAACTTCAAGGATCATTGCAAGCATACGAAGAGAAGCATAAAAAGAAGCATGAGTTTACTGAGCAACTCCTCAAGCTGCAACTCAAGGATATGCATGAAAGCCAACGCAATGATAGAAACCAACGTGGCCAAGGAAGAGGTAGAGGCCATGGACGAGGTGGAAGTCGAGGTCGTGGACGAGGCTGGAATTACAACAACAACAACAATTCCAACAACAACTATGAGAAAGGAGAAAGCTCAACACAAGGTCGTGGAAGAATCAATCCGAACTCAAGGCATGACAAATCTCAAGTTCGATGTTATAATTGTCAGAAGTTTGGGCATTATGCTTCAGAATGTAGAGCTCCCAACAACAAAATTGAGGAGAAGGCCAACTACATGGAGGAAAAAATAGAGGGCAAAGAAACTCTTCTTCTAGCACGAAAGGAAACTGATGGTGTCCAAGCAAATTCCTGGTATCTTGACAGTGGTGCAAGCAATCACATGTGTGGAAGGAAAGACATGTTCGTGGAGCTAGACGAGTCAATAAGCGGAAATGTTTCGTTTGGAGATGATTCCAAAATAGCAGTGAAAGGGAGAGGTAACATTCTTATCCGTTTGAAAGATGGGAGACATCAACTTATTTCAAATGTCTACTATGTGCCCAATATGAAAAGTAATATCTTAAGTTTAGGGCAACTGGTAGAGAAAGGTTATGATATTCATATGAATAATTATAACCTTTCTATAAAAGATGATAAGAATAACTTCATTGCTAAAGTGCCGATGTCAAAGAATAGAATGTTATTGATCAACATTCAAAATGATGTTGCAAAGTGCCTGAAAGCTTGCTACAAAGATTCATCATGGCTTTGGCATCTTCGATTCGGACATCTCAATTTTGGAGGTCTAGAGCTACTATCTAAGAAGGAGATGGTGAAGGGACTACCTTGCATCAACCATCCTGACCAGCTCTGTGAAGGGTGTCTAGTCGGGAAACAATTCAGGAAAAGTTTTCCAAAGGAGTCGGAGACAAGAGCCAAGAAGCCACTCGAGCTCATCCATACCGATGTGTGTGGACCGATCAAGCCAAGCTCTCTTGGTAACAGTAACTATTTTCTTCTCTTCATTGATGATTTTTCAAGAAAAACCTGGGTATATTTCTTGAAACAGAAGTCAGAAGTTTTTGAAGTCTTCAAGAAGTTCAAAGCAGCAGTGGAGAGAGAAAGCGGTAGAAAGATCAAAGCCATGAGATCCGACCGAGGTGGAGAATTTACTTCCAGAGAGTTTCAAGAGTTCTGTGAAGCAAATGGAATTCGTCGACCAATGACAGTTCCTAGATCCCCCCAGCAAAATGGTGTGGCAGAAAGAAAGAACAGAACAATCCTCGACATGGCACGAAGCATGCTCAAAAGCAAGAAACTACCCAAGGAATTTTGGGCGGAAGCAGTAGCGTGTACAGTCTACTTGTCAAACCGATCTCCAACAAGAAGTGTATGGGGAAAGACACCACAAGAGGCATGGAGTGGAAGAAAGCCTGGCATTTCTCACTTGAAAATCTTTGGAAATATAGCCCATGTTCACGTACCGGACGAGAGAAGAACGAAGCTTGATGATAAAAGCGAGAGTTTTATCTTCATCGGCTATGATGCTAATTCAAAAGGCTACAAGCTGTACAATCCAGACAAAAAGAAGATTGTGATTAGTCGAGATGTGATCTTCAACGAAGAAGGAGAATGGGATTTTAACTCTCACACAGACGACTTCAATTTCTTTCCTCAGTTTGAAGAAGATGAGCAGACAATGAGGGAACAACTAGGTGAACCTCGACAAGAGCTTGAAACTCCACCCACTTCACCAACATCAAACCACTCAAGGAGACTCATCACCTTCGTCATCGTCAAGAGGGAGTCAAAGTGAAAGAGTTGTGCAACGTACAAGAAGCCTTAGAGATCTCTATGAGGTAACTGAACGACAAGATAATCTTACATTATTTTGTCTGTTTACCGATTGTGAACCAATGAACTTTCAAGAAGCAATACAAGAAAAGAAGTGGAGAGATGCGATGGACGAAGAAATCAAGGCCATCGAGAAGAATGACACATGGGAACTTATCTCACTTCCCAAGGGACATAAGGCGATAGGTGTCAAATGGGTGTACAAAACAAAGCAAAATGTCAAAGGAGAGATTGAAAGGCACAAGGCGAGGCTAGTTGCTAAAGGCTATAGTCAAAAGCCTGGAATTGACTATGATGAGGTATTTTGCTCCTGTTGCTCGATTGGAGACTATTATATTAATCATTTTTTTGGCAGCTCAAAACAAGTGGAAGATACAACAGATGGATGTAAAGTCTGCCTTTCTAAATGGAGTTCTTGAAGAGGAAGTCTACATTCAACAACCATCAGGCTACGAAGTCAAAGGGCACAAAGACAAGGTGTTGAAATTGAAGAAGGCTCTTTACGGGCTAAAACAAGCACCAAGGGCATGGAATAGCCGAATGGACAAGTACTTCCAAGAAAATGGCTTCAATAAATGTCCCTACGAGCACGCTCTATATATCAAGATCAAAGATGAAGATATTCTGATCGTGTGCATCTACGTGGACGATTTGATCTTCACCTGAAGCAACCCAAGCATGTTTAATGAATTCAAGGATGTGATGATGAAGGAATTCGAGATGACAGACATGGGGCTCATGGCGTACTACCTTGGCATTGAAGTTAAGCAACAAAAGGATGGAATTTTCATTTCACAAGAAAGCTATGCAAAGGAGATCCTGAAGAAGTTCAAGATGGAGAACTGTAAGCAAATAAGCACACCGACAGAATATGGGATCAAGATGTCCAAACATGAAGAAGGAGAAAGTGTAGATCCAACGTTCTTCAAAAGTTTGGTGGGAAGTCTACGTTATCTAACTTGCACGAGGCCTGATATTCTTCATGCAGTTGGATTGGTTAGTCGCTACATGGAATCTCCAACAACCACCCATTTTAAAGCCGCAAAGAGAATTCTTCGCTATCTGAAAGGTACAATTGACTTTGGCTTGTTCTATTCAGTTTCTAATGATTACAAGCTTGTTGGATATAGCGATAGTGATTGGGGTGGAGACATAGATAATCGAAGGAGCACTACTGGATTCGTATTTTTCATGGGAGATACTGCTTTCACATGGATGTCAAAGAAACAACCGATTGTCACATTGTCCACTTGTGAAGCGGAATATGTTGTTGCTACCTCATGCGTTTGTCATGCAATTTGGCTTAGAAACCTATTGAAAGATATATGTTTGATACAAGAAGAGCCTACCAAGGTTTGTGTCGACAACAAGTCAGCAATTGCCTTAGCAAAGAATCCAGTATTCCATGATCGAAGCAAGCACATCGACATTCGCTACCACTATATAAGGGAGTGTGTTGCAAGAAAGGATGTGGAAGTTGAATACGTGAAGTCACAAGATCAAGTTGCTGATATTTTTACCAAGCCACTGACAAGCGAAGACTTCATAAGATTGAGGAACTTACTAGGGGTCACAAGATCAAGTTTAAGGGGGGGTGTTGGATCATAAACTTGATCCATTATGAGAACCCAAACCCAAACCCACACCTAAACTAAATTGATGTAAGCAATGACATCTTCCCCTAATTGATGTAAGCAATGACATCAATTTAGTTAGGTGAAAGTTAGGTATGTCTTATTTTCAAATGGTTTGAATTAGTTTATTTGTGTGGTGTATGATTGTTTGGAATAATTTATTTGTAAGGTGTAGGATAGTTCTTGAGTAGTATAAATACCCCTCCCCATTTTAGTTTAAACATCAAGAAAAATTAATAGTTTCTAAGTGAGTGAAGAAGCAAAGTCTTATAAGAGTGAGTTGTAGTTCTTGTTTTTGAGTGAGAGTGTTCTTGTAATATTTCTTTGAGCTTCAATAAAAATTGCTTGTGTGAGCGTTTTATTTCCAACATATACAATCGGAATATCCTTAACAAGATCGGTAGTCTCGTTGGTCGAGTGGCCAAAATCAACTTTCATAACGGAACCAGTAACATGCGGAGGTTCGCCAGAGTGGCAGTCTATGTAGATCTTACCAAACCCTTGATCTCGAAACTCGAAAGTTTACGTCGGAGATAAGCTTCAAGTGGTGGAGCATGAAAACCTACCCCTTATCTGTTTCTCCTGTGGGCGGTTTGGACATATGAAAGAAGCCTGCAATGGCATCACTAACACCCAGAGCACTCTGTCGATTACACCGGAAGCTAACTCAGGTATTCCCCAATCTGTCGTTACCCCTCAATATGATCAACCTGGTTTACCCTCTGTGCAGGTAAACAACAATGCCTCAGAGACACCAGAAGAATTAGCGTACGGACCATGGATGGTCGTAGAAAAACGATGAAGGCGACAACATCAAGCTCCGACCAAGGCAATGACCCAATATGAAACACAAAAGGAAACTAGATCAAGATTTTCAATTCTTGATTCTGCGACCCACAAGAATGGGAAGCAACTCGTCAATCAAGGAAATGAAATGGGAGCGAATAATATCACCGATTCTCCTTCTGAAATCCCCCTGACGGAATCTGGTCTTAGTGATCACCAGATTATTTCCAAAGGAATCAACCAGAATAAAGGGAATCCAAAATCAGCATAAAGCTGGAAATCAAGAATGTAATCCCCACCGTCAAACAATAAGCCATAATACCCATGTGACCACCTTGAAGAATCCACTAAAGGGGTGGACCCCACATCTTCAACTGCTTAGTCTATTAGCAATAATACTTTGGTGGGTTCCCACGACAACACCCAGCTGCATGGAGAAAATGGGATTAATCCCGTGCACGTCAACATGTGTCCTCAAGAAGGCAACGACCCCAACCAAACTGAAGTGATTAGTCTAAATGGAGCGAGATTCCAATCGAACAACAATCCCATTTTTGACAATTCCCTAGGGCTTGAAGGGAAACGGGTCATGTCCTTGCTTGATCCTAGTCTCCTTAGCGTCCTTACTTTTGTGCCAACTTCCAATCAAGAAAGTTTACCAAACCCAAGCAAACCCTCCTCCAGTGTTCGGAAGTTGGTTGACACAAGAGGGAGAGGCGCCTCGTATGTTATCTAATCCAAAGGTTCAAAGGCCAAGGGTTCCAAAACGGGCAGTCTTCCCATCCAGGAAGCCATGAGTGGCATTATTCAGAATATCCAAAACCAGAGTCAAGTCCAAAACAAGGAGGAAAATAACAGCACCAAGGCTATGAGCATTGGCCAGTAAAGGTATCTCTTACTCTATTTTATGGATTTTAAATTAATAACGTGGAATTGTCAGGGCTGTGGCGGACCTAGATTCCCGAAGATTCTAGGTCCCGAAGATTCTTAAAGAGTATACGCTTGAACACAAACCGCACATAGTGGCTCTTCTTGAAGCCCGCATAAGCGGAGGTAAAGCTGATCGAGTTATTAGCAAAATGGGATTCAGCAACTCCCTCAGAGTGGAAGAAGCTGGGTTCTCAGGAGGGATATGGCTCCTTTGGAATGATCCCATTTCATTTACCTTGCTTGCTGCCCACCCGCAGTTCATAACCACAAAAGTTTCGCTCCCCAACACTTCTAAGCATATTTTTGTCACTATAGTCTATGGTCATCCGGATAAAAAGAAATGTCAAGCCCTTTGGAGGGATTTACATGCTTCCCGAACTCCAAGTGGTGAGGCGTGGATCATTGCCGGTGATTTTAATGCAATCTTGTCTAGCGATGAGAAAAGAGGAGGATCGAGAAAATACGTTGGCTGCAAGTATTTCTTGGAGTTTCTAGAACAGCTCAATTTTACGGACCTGAAGTTTAAAGGGCCGCAATTCACTAGGTCGCCTGGAAGGGATTTCTGAACGGCTGGATAGAATGGTTGTTAATGCCAAATGGATGGACCTTGCTCCCATGTCCGTGGTTTATCATTTGACTCGATTAAAATCTGATCGCAGGCCATTATTACTCCACTCTGCAGGCTCGCCTTCTATCCAACGTCCAAGACTGTTCCGGTTCCTGGCCGGTTGGACCCTACACCCCCAATTCAACAAGGCTGTCAATGATAATTGGAGCTTTCAAGGTAATCTTCCTGATTCCCTCCGTAATATTACGAACTCACTCTCTATATGGAACATGGAAGTCTATGGCCATATTATTCAGTAAAAGAAGAAATTAAAAAATCAATTGGCCTCAATTCAAGCAGTTTTAGACAACGGTGGCAATGGCTACCTTATTGACAAGGAGCTTCAAATCCGCACGTGCTTGGAAGAGATCCTGGACCACGAAGAGTTGTTATGGTACCAAAAATCCAGAAGTGAGTGGATTCAAGATGGTGACCGCAATACCAAATTCTTCCACAGTAGAACTCTCGCTAGACGTCAATCTGATCGCATCCAAGCACTCAAGATTCAATCCAACGAGTGGTGCTATGATGACGAAATTCTGCATACGGAAGCCAAATCCTTCTTCGCTGGTCTTTATCGGGACGATGGTGGGCGATCAGGTAAATTTCCTATAAGAGGAATCTTTCCTAGCTTATCTAATGAAGATATTCAACGGCTTGATGCAGTGGTTACTAATGAGGAGACCAAAAGGGCCTAATTTGATATGAGTCCGCTCAAATCCCTCGGAATAGATGGAATCCACGCACTATTCTTCCAGAATCAATGGGACACAGTTGGTAACTCTGTCTGTACTTGGGTCAAAGGTATTTTCAATGGGAATAAGATTGAGTCGGAGCTTAATAAAACACTTATTATGCTCATTCCTAAAGCTGATAAGCAGAAATCCTTTACTGAGTTCCGACCAATCAGTCCTTGTATTGTCCTGTATAAGTTTATTATGAAGATTATTGCTAATAGATTCAGAGCGATCTTTCTTAAAATCATCGCTCCGAACCAGTCAAGCTTTATTGCAAGAAGAAACATTACGGACAACATCGTAATAGCTCAAGAGGTGATCCACTCGATGAGACCGAAAAAAGGAAAATGGATGACTATTAAAGTCGATCAGGAGAAAGCCTATGACCCGGGATGGCTGGGACTTTCTTTCAAACTCTCAAGGATATGGGTTTCCGGCAAACATCCGTTCTATCATTATGGATTCCATTACCACTTCAACCATACAGATTCTCTGGAACGGATCTCCTGAAGAATAATTTAAACCGACAAGAAGAATCCTCTAGGAATGTCCCCTCTCCCCGTATATTTGTTAGGAAATAAACCAAGAACGAATAATTTCTCTATAACCAGATTAGTAAGAATGTGAAATAAAAGCGAAAAAATAATACCCAAAATTGATAACGGAGTTCAGTCAATTTTGCTTACGTCTCCGGACTGCTGCAGATCTTTTACTAAGAGAGAAATTTTACAGGTGTTTACAAAACACTCACTACCCACAAGAAAGCTCTCTAGTATTGGGAGAAAGAAATGATTTTTTGGGATGATTTTGAAGCTAAATGAGCTAGGTTATTTATAGTTGAAACTTAAGGGTTAATCTTGTAAATACCCTAAAGTTCAATGACTCAATTTTGTAATTATCCCTATTACAAAATAATAAAAAAAAAATTAGCATCCCCCTTTGAAATTATTTAGCCGCCGGCTGCTTGAAGAATGGCTGCCAAAATTTGGCATTTTTAATTTAGTCGACTGCCATCTTTTCAACAATCTCTCACTTGAAGACTGATTTTAATCTGTCTTCACACCTCGATCAATCCATCAACTTTTATAGTCTTGTTACTCTAGCATGCCAACTGAAGTTGAACACAACTTCAGTTTTTCCGTGGTCACCGTCTTTGTCAACATGTCTGCCGGATTTTGAGCTCCACTAATCTTTTCAAGTTTCAAAATCCCATCTTCCAGAAGAGACCAGATAAAATGATATCGCAATTGTATGTGCTTCGTCCTGGAATGAAAAGATAGATTCTTTGCTAGATGGATAGCACTTTGACTATCGCAATACAAGACATTGTTTTCTTGTTTCTTGCCTAACTCTTCCAATAAACTTTGGAGTCATACCATCTCCTTGCTGGCTTCTGTAACAGCAACATATTCTGCTTCAGTTGTGGAGAGAGCAATTATCTTCTGTATTTGAGAAACCCAACTCACTGCAGTACCTCCTAGAGTATAGACATACCCTGTAGTGCTTCTTCTGATGTCAATATTTCCGGCTAAGTCAGCATCTACATAGCCTGTCAGCATCGTATCTCCACTTTTGAAACAAAGTGCTTTGTTTGTGGTACCCCGCAGATATCTGAGGATCCATTTGACTGCTTCCCAGTATACCTTGCCTGGATTATTCATGTACCTGCTAACAGCTCCCACTGCATGAGCAATATCTGGTCTAGTACAAACTATGACATACATGAGACTTCCAATTGCTGAGGCATACGGCACCTTCACCATGTGTGCTCGTTCTTCCTCCGTCTTTGGTGACTGTTCTTTGGAGAGTCTGAAATGAACACCTAAAGGTGTACTTACTGGTTTAGCATCTTGCATGTTGAACCTGGAGAGTACTTTGTTGATGTACTCAGCCTGTGATAACATCAAAGTCCCCGACTTTGTGTCTCTCTTGATCCTCATCCCAAGAATCTGCTTTGCAGCGCCCAGATCCTTCATAGCAAACTGCTTCGACAATTTTTGCTTCAAGTTTATAATCTCTTGCATATCTGAGCCTGCAACGAGCATGCCATCAACATACATCAATAAAATAATGAAGCTATTGTCAAACCTCTTGATGTAACAACAATGGTCTGCTTGGCATCTGGTAAAACCATTGTTACCCATGAAACTATCAAACTTCTTGTACCACTGTCTAGGAGCTTGTTTTAAACCATACAAGCTCTTCTTTAACCTGCATACCAGGTTTTTCTTGTCTGCCTCTATGAAGCCTTCTGGCTGCCTCATACAGATTTCTTCCTCCAAATCACCATGAAGGAAAGTTGTCTTTACATCTAACTGCTCAAGATGTAAATTCTCTGTAGCTACAATTTTCAACATCAGTCTGATTATGGACAGTTTTACGACTGGTGAGAAAATTTCATTGTAGTCAATACCTTCTTTTTGCTGAAAACCTTTAACAACCAATCTCGCTTTGTAACGTTTGCTCCCATCGTGCTCTTCTTTGATCCTGTAAATCCACTTGTTGTGAAGCGCTTTCTTGCCTGGTGGTAATTCAGCTAATTCCCACGTCTGATTTGACATAAGCGAGTCCATCTCATCTTTCATGGAAGACTCCCACTTGACTGAATCCTCCACCTGCATTGCTTCATCATAGCACTCTGGTTCACCATTGTCAGTCAGTAACAAGTAGTGCAAAGAAGGCGAATAACGTTGGGTTGGTTTAGGAATTCTGGAGGAGCGTCTCAGTTCTGGTGTGCGTGGTTCTTCTTGAACTGCTTCAGGATTGATCTGAACATCATTTCCAGAAATCTCCTCGAACTCAACAAATTCCTTTGTTTCAGCTTCGATGTTTGAGCTACTTGATTCTATGGTTGATCTGTCTTTGTACATCACATTCTCATTGAAAATGACATCTCTGCTTATGATGATCTTTCGATTTTCGTAGTCCCAAAACCGGTAACCGAACTCATCACCATCATAACCAACAAAGACACATTTGTTGGACTTGGCATCAAGTTTACTTCTTTCAGCAGAGTTTATGTGTACATAAGAAATACAACCAAACACTCTTAAGTGTGAAAGGTTTATTTCTTTCTTACTCCACACTTCCTCTGGTATTCTTCCATCCAAAGGAACCGAGGCCCACGGTTGATCAGGTAAGCAGAAGTGTTGATAGCTTCGGCCCATAGAGATTTGGGCAATCCGGCATGTATCCTCATGCTTCTGGCACGTTCATTCAGAGTTCTGTTCATGCGCTCTGCTACACCATTATGTTGTGGTGTCATGGGAACTGTTGTCTCCATCTTGATCCCATTGTTTGCACAGAAATCTCTGAATCTCCTATTTTTATACTCTCCTCCATTGCCAGACCTCAATCGCTTGACTTTCAGACCAGTCTCATTTTCCACCATGACCTTCCATTTTCTGAAGGTATCAAAGACTTCTGATTTCTTCTTCAGAAAATAAACTCACACCTTCCTTGTAGAATCATCGATGAAGGTGACATAATATAGTGAGCCTGCAAGAGATGGAACTGGAGATGGTCCCCATATATCAGTATGAACCAACTCTAACTTTTCAGCCTTGGGTGTCTTACCAATCTTTGCAAAGCTGACTTTCTTTTGTTTGCCAAAGATGCAATCCTCGCATAGTCCGACATCTACATTCTTTAGATCCGGCAGCTTCCCTTTTGACAATAGTGTCTTCATCCCTTTCTCACTCATATGGCCAAGCCTTTGGTGCCATATGTTTGATTTTCCATCAGCATCTGCTAATGCAATGATATTATCTAAATTTGAGGTTATATAGAGAGTATCAGTTTTCTTACCACGAGCAATGACGAGTGCTCCTTTGGTAATCTTCCATTCACAGCCTGAAAAAGTTGTGCTATATCCTTCTCCATCAAGCTGTCCTACAGAAATCAGATTTCTTTTGAGGCCAGGAATATGTCTCACTCCTTTCAGCGTCCAGGTGGTCTGGTTTGGCAACTTTAGTCGGATGTCTCCTTTTCCGACGATCTTCAAGGTTTCATCATCAGCTAGATGAACCTTCCCAAAATCACCATTGACATAGTTCTCCATGATTTCTCGGCATGGGGTGGAGTGGAAAGATGCCCCTGAATCCAAGATACATGATTCAATCGGACTGTTGACATTTAAAATCATGGCATCACCTGTCTCCTCTGTCATGTTGACAGATTCCTGTGCGCCGATATTTTTCTTCGGTGCTCGGCAATCTCTTTTGAAGTGACCCTTCTTGCCACAATTATAACAGGTAAAATCTTTATTTCATGTTCTTGATTTTCCCTGTCTGGATTTGGATCTGCTACGATTTGAATTTCTTTCTGAAGTTCTCCCTCTAGACTCCGTGTGCAAGGCTGAGGAGGTTGATGCTTCACCCGATTCTCTCCGTCGAATTTCTTCGCTCAGTACCAGATCCCGAACATCGTCAAATTTCAATTTACTATTTTCCGACGAGCTGCTAACTGCTGTAACAGTAGCATTCTAACTGTCTGGTAGAGATGATAAGAGAATTAAAGCTCGAACTTCATCATCGAAATCAATTTCCACTGAACTCAACTGGGTTGTGATTGTGTTGAGTTCATTCAGGTGTTGAGCTACTGATGCCCCTTCCGTCATTCGCAAATTGAATAATCGCCTCATCAAATGAACTTTGTTTGAGGCCGATGGCTTCTCATACATACTGGAGAGAGCCACCATAAGACCCGCCGTGGTCTTTTCCTTTGCTATGTTGAAAGCAACATTACGGGATAACGTCAGTCGGATAACTCCAAGGGCTTGTCTGTCGAGAAGAGCCCAGTCTTCATTCTTCATGCCCTCTGGTTGCTTTCCTGAGAGGGGTTGATATAGATTTTTCTGGTACAGAAAATCTTCGATCTGCATCTTCCAAAAGCCAAAGTTCGCACCATCGAACTTTTCAATTTTCACCTTCCCTTCGTCTGCAGCCATTGCTCCCACTCGAATCTGGCTTCTTCGGATCGTTTCTGACAATTTGTGTGAACCACCGTGTATTAGAACACCTCCGTCGACAAACTCGTATCGCCGACCGAATTTCACTATTCATGAAATTTACTATTCACGTGAATAGTAACCCGAATAGTAACCTCGCAAAAAATTTGACAGAATTCACAACCAAAAGCTCTGATGCCAGTTGTTAGGAAATAAACCGAGAACGAGTAATTTCCATATAACCATATTAGTAAGAATGCGAAATAAAAGCAGAAAAATAATACCCGAAATTGATAACGGAGTTCAGCCAATTTTGCTTACGTCTCCGGACTCGGCAGATCTTTTACTAAGAGAAAAATTTTACAGGTGTTTACAAAACACTCACTACTCACAAGAAAGCTCTCTAGTATTGGGAGAAAGAAATGATTTTTGGGATGATTTTGAAGTTAAATGAGCTAGGGTATTTATAGTTGAAACTTAAGGGCTAATCTTATAAATACCTTAAAATTTAATGACTCAATTTTATAATTATTCTTATTACAAAATAATAATAAAAAATTAGCAACCCTTTGAAATTATTTAGCCCCGGCTGCTTGAAGAATGGCTGCCAAAATTTGGCATTTTAATTTAGCCGGCT